TAATGTATGTATTTTTCCTAAATATGTGCACTTAATATACACACACAACTATCGTCTGCAGCTAGATACCATGTATGCGCACCTAGACATGCAAGCCGACATAAGTCATTGACTTCTCTATGACCAGACAGCATATTTCCATAAAATATATCTAAAAGATAGTTAATTTGATTTATTATTCTTGAAAAATCCTGTCTCCAGTACTGGCGTCATCTGGAAACTTCGTGCTATTATATACTATCATTCCGAAGCCGAAGTAAAAGTTACAGATTGATGACAGAATCCAGCTTGCATGGTAAAAATAGTCCCTGGTTTGCCTGATCATGTTTCTTGTTATCCGATAAGTGAGGCTGAACCAAACAAGCCTTGCATAGTTCAGGGGAGAACTTTGCCTGGATTATATAGGTTTTCATTCACACGTTCATCTGGACTTTTTTTCTTATTTACTTTCCTACGATTAATAATTAGCGTTAAAATAGGTTTGCTGAATTGGTCAATGAAAACTTTGGCAGCTTCAGTCGGATCGTTTGCAAATGCTAGAGATGATGGCGGTAATTATGAGACTGAAAGAGCCCGGGTCAAGTGTAAACTCTGCTGATGGAGAACTGACTCTCGGCATTGAATAATATAGCTAAGAAAATCTGACTCGTTTTGCCTGCTGGAATATTTTTCTCCCCCCAATGCAACAACGGCTTCATGGTATTCTAAAACCATTCCGCCTCAGACAGTAGTTCAAAGTGCCTCCACCTTTACAAGTAAAACGCATAGACTTCATACGTGGAATGGCAGTGTTGAGTTACGCTTTGAGTTCAGATCGGAGAGGGGGCGGGGAAAATTAGAGGTACAGTTTATACCTAGAGAGGAGGAATTATATTTTTAATTTAGAAACTTAAACTCAGAAAACACCTAGTCTGGTGGTCAATGACTCCAAAGTTGGTCCACTTCCAAGGGCGGAGGCTTGAGGGGGCGGAGAGAGGGTGAAAGCCAGGTACTCCCAATAGGCTTCATCATCATTGGCAACTACTCAGGCCTCGGTGCCCTGCTGCTGCTGATCACACACACTGCTCTTGGTGATACAATTACCTACCAAGTTAACCTAAAACAGTGACTATTCTCAAGACAAACTGGAAATTTTAGCCACCATTCATTTCTTTTGGCCAACAATAAAATTACTTTTATCTCTCGCTACAAATGTGGCAGACTGTGAAAAACTTTATTTTTGAATATTGGGAAGGGATAATGGGGCGTAGAGTTAAGAGGGTAGTCGAGTAAGATGAAGGCTTCTAGAGGTAGATTCAGCGGGTCAACCCTTTAAAAGTTATAGGAAACTTCACAGCAAACAAATTTTTAAAAAATCTAAATGCCAGGCCCATCAGTATAGAAGGTTGGTGCTATTTTTATTGTCAGTTAAAGCAAAAAAAAAAAAATGATAAGCAGGCAGGGCCGATTGAAAGGTTACATCTTTCTTTCGGAACTGGTTTGCTTCTTAAAGGTTAACATGAATGCTTGACTTTAAAAAATGAAAATGATCAGCTGCAAAAGCTTAAAGCAGTTGGGGGTGGCTTTTGAAGACGAAAACAAAGGGGACAGAAATTTTTGAAAATGATTAAGTACCACCCAATGTGGACATACGTGTGTGCACTTATGTGGCTCCTATATCAACGTAAACGTATGAGAGAGAACTCTCCGCACTTCATTTCCCCAGCCAGCCTGCATCCACTCCACATTTTCCACAGACACTATATAACTTTTTAAATAACCCGTTAGAGGTTCTAATGGACTGGTACATAAGAGAAGACAGCAGCAAAAGTGTACCAGTACATAGAGCCTTCTGCCTGAATCACAACCCACAACCACACACGACACAAGCCATTTACAGACTCTCCAGCTTCTGTGAAATAGAAGCAGCATCATATTTTGCTGCTAACATTCATGTATTTCAAAACCTAATAGCCCATGAAGAAAAGTATGAAAAATACATCTCAAGAAACAGACATTAAAGGTACGAGCAAAATAATAGACAGCATTTAAGTTGAAACACCATTTTAGGCGACCTCGATCATTAATATTGACGACTACCATGCAATGAGGTTTTTGTGTATGTTTTATCTGCCGCAAAAGTTTCTTTTCTTGGGTTGTATTATGTTAAATATTGAATAGGAAATGTAGATTCCTATCCTCCCCTTCCTCCTCACCTCAAATACCTAAAAGAGCTATCTATTTCTCCAGAACAAGAGCTAATATTGAAATTAGGAAGTAGACCTAATGTCAACATTTACCTTTCCTCTTCTCCCAATAAAAAATCCCAAATTCTTAATTTGATCTATATATGGTAGCAGAAGTGCTGGACTTTTGCTCCCACTATCTCCATTGGAAAAAAAAAAAAGACAGTAGAAACACAACAAAGAATATACTGACGACTTTCCATAAAGGAGAAACGACCTTCCTTCAGAAATCTCAACAGAATAATCCTTAGGATATCCTGAGGAGGAGGAGGGGGAGTCCTTTAAAACCAAGAATTAGCCAAGTTACAATATTATCTATCTTTTGTATTAAACATCCCCAGACAGTTCTTATCCCTAGGGGATGGGGGTGGGGTGGGGGGGGGAAGAATGTTGATTGAGGTGTTATCTTTCCTACATCCCTCACCTACTTTTATTCTTATTTATACAATTATTAATTGTCAAACCGTCTGGAGTCCCTTCAGGTATTAGAATGGTAATCAATTCCAAACCCCCCACAGCCATTTGGGGGAGGCTTTTGGTGACATGAATTTCTTCAACTTGCAAAATTTTATTGTTGGGTCCCCACCATTGGAACTCCTTTAAATCTCTCCAAACCCTGCAAGGTGGCGCTCTTTTCTTTTAAAGAAGACATTAAGCCTATAATCAGAATAACATTTTTGATAAAGCAAAAGTAAACTTCATTAATGCCATAGTTTCTGCAGAGCCACAGAGCTAGCATCTCTCTTCATTCAAATAAGATTTTTGTCATTTCCAAGTGATAAATATAAATATAAAATATGAAAGGGCAGCAAATTACAGTGTGCATGCTTGGGGGTGTTATGTTTCATAATCAACCAACATTTTGCAAAGAGTTGCCTTGGCCTTAGAAGAACTGGGCACCATCTTCAGGGGTGGCAGACTTTTGGGGAGTTGTGCCTGCTTTCTCACAGTTGGTAGTGACTTGCCATACACATACTATTTCTTTAAAGAAGCTGTTAAAGTGTCATCTTGGTCTACTGGAAGGTCAGTTTCTGCACGTCACTCTATGACACACATATCACACTCACTCGCAGCTTTAGCCAAGCTCATGATTTGTGTTGTCTGTTGATCGGTTGTCTGCTTAATGGGGCGATCATGCAAGCTACAACGAGGAACAAAGCCCAACAGTTCCAACAAGCGTAGCTAAGTTAGTGGAAGCAGTATAGCAAATCTATCAAACTTAACTGCGAGAGAGACAATCTGATTTAGAGAAAAGGCGTTCTGCCACAGTCATTAAGCACAAGTAATTTAGATTTTTTATATTGTCTCCTCATTTACAAATTTACTGTATCAACGCCAGCCAATGGAACGAATTTCTTAAGTAAATGAGAAATAAATAAAAGAGATAGAAAGATAATCAAATTACATAAAATAATTCTTCTCCCCTAGATTTATTTTTTGGAGGAAGCTAATAACACTGGCAAAATTATAGTAATAATAACATATCATAGGAAGTAATTAATTTAAATTAACATCACGTTTTAAAGGATCGAAGGAAAATGTCTTTATGGACATTCACTTCTGCACAAAGAAAGGTCCATGGAAAACCATGAATCTACATCATGTAAATTAGTTATGGCCATAAACGTTTTCATTTAAAAACAGCAACTTAAAATATGATATTGTAAATCTCCTGATATGTTTTACCCGAATTAATTTAATTTGGGGGCAGTGTAACGTTAGCCTTCGAGTTCATTTGCAGTGGGGATAGTATGGAAAAGCTTCTCGGCTTCCACAATTCACCCACATTAATATTTATGTAGCATATGCAATCTATTTCTGCTATTTTTATGGTTGTTATTCTATGTCTGCAAAGGTCATTTAAATTATACTGCGGCCGAAAATTTGTTTCATAAATTTTGATATAAATACTAATTACACACTATCCTCGTGCCAGCAGGGACTCTTTCCTGGATGACATTTATATAGAGAGCACGGTCGCTGCCTTCCTAGTGACTGAAGGGAGAGCGGTTTAAAAAAAACAAACAAACAAACAAACACAAAACTGATACAGTTTTCGCGGCCGATACTAAAAACAGCTCAAGTTGCAGCAGGTTGGTTGGGAGAACAACAAAGTCCTACCACGATTAATGAGATTTAAGAATCTTTAATAAGGTACGAAATGTTACCAAACAGTTCTGTAAACTAAATTTTACATACGAGTTCTTCTATCCATAAATATTGAATATCTGTAACATGTATAACCGGCCCTTTACATGCGGATAAATATGGAAATTAGGAAGTATATACATTATGTTGTTGTATTTGCCAAAAGCAATGGACAGATATAGTTTATATCTTTTTTTAATATCACTTTACATAAACAAATGTAACATTTTGACACGCAGAAAGATCCAGGCTTGTACTATACGAATTCTTGACAGGACTGTAACAACATTTTACTGCACTACTTAGACTGGACTTTGGGACGAAATGTTTGCACTTTATACAAAAAAAGCACATTAATATCAATAATATTCGGTTAGATTGACGTTTAGACTGTAATCATACAAAGGAATTCACATTGTGGTACACATTTACTAGAACATTCTTGCCATTCAGTACAAATAGTTGAATTTCTGCCTCCCCACCCCCCTCCCCCTCCACACCCTGGCCACCCCTCCCCCCTCCCCCCTCCCCCACATAAATGCAAAGACCACAATTCCACAGATCCCCCCTCCCGCTTCAACTGTGATATAACTATTTACAAAATCAAACAGTACATTTTATGCTAGTAATTCTGTATTTACAGAAGAAAAAAGGCCGATGTACTAAAAGCCCCATCAAATTCAGACCTGGAATCATCAGCCCTACAGAGTTGACATTTGGTCAGGCAACCTCCTCTCTTGCTTTCTCCTACCCCTTATCTACCAAGCCATTGCCCAGAAACACAATTAAATTAAAAAAAAAAAGTTTGACTCTTCATTGTATGTGCTCCTGGGTCTACTGGCAGCTTTTTAAAAAATTAAGATTATAGGGGCTTGTATGTGGGATTCTGTTTTGATTCGCAGTGTTCGTTAATTTTTGTGGAGTCTTTTAAATAGGGTTTTGTTTTTGCATTTTTTTTCTGTTTTGTTTTTAAACGTACCATTCGTTAAAATTTGACGAGAGCGTGCTGTGGCCAGACGTGTGGTGGACTGCTGAAGAGGACGGAGAAAGGGAGCTCGTGGTCTGGTTTTCAGTGGAAGGAGACACGATGGTGGGTGGGGTAGAAGATTCGTAACCTGAACTGGCTGCTGGAGAAGGCTGCGATCCCTGGGAAGAGGATTCGTGGACCTACGGAAATAAAGTATTGTTTTTAAGGATGAAAAAAAACCCCCCAATAATAATGGCCTCATTAGCTAGGAGACTGAGAGGGAGCACTGTTCCTTCCTCTCCTTCATACTCCCCCTCCTTTCCCTTTCTGTAAGTTGGTTCCGCAGATCTCCTAGGCAGTAATAAGTAGGAAAGGGCATTATCTAGGCTCACGCAGAACCGAGATCCTCGAAGCAGGCTTCTAGCTTAGCCGAGGACCTTGGCTAGGATCTGGTCCCTTGGCTGACTGGATAAGAAGGTAAATACGGTCCGAGGACAAACAAAAGAAAGAGGACCTGAGGGGTTTGGATTGAAAAGAAAACCCCGCGGCTTCCTCCCTTAGCCACGGAGCCTGGCCATTGAATGAACAATCCAGGAAAACAGTCAACTTGGAATGAGCCCTGGGAGTGCAACTATCTTAGTGGCAAAAGGTTTCCAACTTAAATATCTATAAAACCTAGACAGCTCTACCATTAAGAAATATCTTTTTACTTCACCCGTATAACACCCTCCCCCCTCAAAAAAAAAATCAGTTTTTCCAGAATTAAAAAAAACCAAAACTCCAACACACCCAGCCCATTCTGCCTTTCACTTTCCCATCCACAATGCCCCAGATCTCTAAAAGGAACAATTCTTTAGCGTTTCGGTCTTCTCTAGCTAAATCGAAGATCTGGAACTAGTCCACAGTGACAAAAAATAACACACAGGAGAAGAGCCCACGCGATCCCAGTAGTGCAAGAGTGCAGCTATTACCTTCATGTGTTTTCTGAGTGAGCTCGGATGGGTGTAGGACTTATCACACATTTTGCAGAGATAAGGTTTATCAGAAGTATGCACATGCATGTGCTTTTTGCGGTCGCTGCTATTTGCAAATCGTCTGTCACAGCCTTCGAATTCACACTTAAATGGTTTTTCACCTAGTATAGGGGGAGGGGAAAGGATCGATTAGAAAGACTGTATCTGATTTATCAAATAATTTTTAAAATAAAGAGAAAATATCAAGTATGGTAACTTTGTAACTTAAAGTTTATTTTTCTGAGGTTCATTTGGGTATCATCATCATTATTATTATTATTTTGCTGTTTCACTTTTGCTTCTGTTTTCTTCCATCATTTAATCTCAGTCCCTGTGTGGCCCTCTTATAGAAAAGTATTTCATTTTCAGGGTTTCTTTAATTGTTATCTTTTTTTTTTTTTTAAGCTCCCTGTTTCAGTCTGAAATCTTCGGATGCTCATTAGGTTCTCAGAGATACAGAAGGTGTTCCAGGTTTCTGTATGGCCCTTATTATCTAATTTTCCGCTTTTATGGCTGGTTCTCGTGATGTTTTATTCCCCTCCCCTTACCCTCTTTCCCCTCCCCCCCCACCTCCCACCCCTCCACGCGCCCAGGACACATATTTTATAATGCAATATCAGGAAACGTTCCTGTGATCCCCGCACTTAGAGGCTTCGGGTGCGAAGTTGACAGAGCCGATCTCAGCCATGGTTGGAGTGAAGGATAACCCAATAACCTGAATCCCACCACTCTTAATTACAGCCTGAAGAAAAAAAAAGGACGGCCCAGCAGCACCGGCCCTAGAATTGATCAGCGGTTTTAAGAGTTTAACTATTCTCTTCCCCACTGGCCCAAGGGTTATTAGAAATGACAGTCATGTTCGGTTCAGGGCCCATTAACATCTCTCCTATGCCATTTTATAAAATACACATTCATCCAAGGTTTTAACTGAACTCAGAGCCTAGTTTCTGAAGGGATTCGAGAGGAAACGATCTTTTTAAATATGTATAAGGCTACAGATAGTTCTCAAAAATCTAAGACTGTCTGCTTATTTCTTTCTTCCTTGCCTCATCCTTTCGCCAGCCTCTACCCTCCCCAATTTCATCAGCTTCCTCTGGCAAATCCCTCCTTTAAAGAGAGAAACGTTTTGTGGGGTGTGATCCCAGAAACTAATTTTTAAATTCTATTTTCTTTTTGAAGCAGCTTTTTCTACCGGCCCTCTCGAATACATCCAAACTGGGAAGCGTGGAGGGCATCGAGCACACACTAGCTGCTCGTTTTTATTTTAGATCTCCCCGATCCCTCCCTTTAAAAATATCTCTCCTGGTCTCTTAGTAACTCTTTTCCTACCCCCCCCCCCTTCCACCCCGCACACACATACACTCACACATACATACACACGCACACATAACCCCAACCAGCCTTCGGTGCCTGCGTGCCAGGAACTTGGCCAGAGCCTTGCTCCCAGCACGGCCCTCCCGAACATTTCGACCAAAGGGTATATATATTCCATTCTTTGGGGGAGTGTTACTGTACCTGTGTGAGTTCTTTTGTGAATCTTTAAATTCTCTGATCGGGCAAATACTTTCCCGCAGCCAGGAAAGGGGCAGGGGAAGGGCTTTTCCCCCGTGTGCACTCGGATGTGGTTTACAAGTTTGTATTTGGCTTTGAAAGGTTTCCCCTCTCTCGGACACTCTTCCCAGAAGCAGATGTGATTGGACTGCTCCGGGCCGCCAACGTGCTCCACCGTGACATGAGTTACCAACTCGTGCATGGTGCTGAAAGTTTTGTTGCAGGACTTTTTGGGGTTGGACAACTGCTCGGGCTCAATCCACTTACAGATAAGTTCCTGTTTGATGGGCTGCCGCATGTAGCGAAAAAAGGCCCCCGCCCCGTGGTGGGCAGCCATGTTCATGTTCATGTGCCCGTAGCCGTGTAGCTGGGTGGAAGCGTAGTGCTCCGAGCGCGGGCTGGTGACCTGGCCGTACTGATCAGGCCGCCCATACATGTCCCCAGAGAAGCCCAGGCGCATCTGCCCGTTCACCACATTGGGGGAAGCGTGGCCAGCCGCCTGCTCGTGCAGCCCGGGGAAGAGAAGGTGGCCCGCGGCGTCGGTGTGCCCGTGGGGCCCGGCAAAGCCTCCCGCCGCGGCCGACGCGAAGAGGCTGTGCTGTGCGCTGGCGGCCGCCTCGCCGAAACCCCGGTTGCGGAACAGAAAGTCCCGGGTCGAGTTGAAAGCGGCACTCGAGTACGAGCTGACATGGGTCGGATGGTGGTGGTGGCCCAGGGCGGCCGCCGCCGCGTAGCCAGGAGCCTGCGAGGTGAAGGCGGTCTGGCCGGCCGAGGCCAGCTCGTGGGTGCTGGGGTTAATTTTAAAGGCTCCCATGCCGTCGGCGAAGGGGTTGATGCCCAAGCCCACCTCTCTGTCCGTCACATCGCCTGCGGAGTGGTGGCGAGACGTTCCGAAGGTAGTCACCCCGATGGCGGGATACTGGGGTCCGGCGTCCAGAAGCATCTTTGCCCTCGGCCAGCCCCAGCCTCCCCCGCCCCCCCACCCTCACCTCGTAAGGAAAAAAAAAAAAAAGAGGAGGAGGAAGAGGAGGAGAAGGAGGGGGGGCCAATACCTCGGAAAGTCAACCAGCAATCACTAGCCGGGGCTTGAGAAAAAAAACAAAATCTCCTTCCCCACCCTCCGACCCCCCCACCCCCCTCCAAAAAAAAAATAGTCACGAGAATAGAGCAGAGCAGGAGACGGATGTCAGCTCGCCGCGGCCACAGTCAAGAAGCACGGAAAAATAAAAAAGAAAAAGAATAAATAAAAATAAAACGAACCCGAAAAAAATCGGCACCCTGCCCCACCCCACCCCCCAAAAGAAGCCCCCGAAGCCTCAGCCCAGGCTGCTGCTTCGTCCTCCTCCTCCTCCGCCTCTGCCGCCGCCGCTGCCGCCGCCGCCGCCGCCGCCGAGTTAGACTTTCTTTCGGGTTAGTCTCCGGCGCGGGAGGCCCAAGTCAAGGCTGCCTGCAAAAAAGCATGGAGCTCAGCAGCCCCCCAAAAAACTTGCTCCCGTATTTTTTGCATATAGGAATGTAAGTGGAAGAGATATTTCTCTCTCCTGAGCTTCCCACCACTCTTCTCTCCCCTCTTTCCTTCTCTCTCTC